GGTACCATTAATGTTTATACAAAATTGCATATACTATTGACGTTGAATATCAACAAAAATAGAAATTATTAATTAAATACTTAATATAGATACTTTATAATTTAAACTTTGAAATATGTCATTTAAAATTTGCGATATTCTTAGATTAACTATAGTATTTTTAGCTTTTCGTGTTAAAAGATATGATGTATGTATTTAATCAAAAAATAATAAAGTTGGATCAAACCAATGGCTTGTATTGTAGTACTTTTCCCTTCAACAAGTGAAAATATTGCTTTTAAATACATTCTATGTACACCTACCGCACTATTAAAATTATTTTCATTCATAAATGAAAGTATTAGGATTGCATATTAATATAAAGAGGGGTTAACATAATGTTCGATTTTAATAGTTAAGTCCGTGAGTTAAGAAAAATAATTATATTTTTTAATGTCACGGAATTGTCCGAAACGCAAATAGGTTTATAGAAATTTGAAAAAACTTGCGGTTTCGGAAATACAAGGCGTCAGAAATTCAAATTTTGCAAATTTCAAGAGACGATAACTTGAGAGGAGGTGGAGATGAAAAAAAATTCTTCTAACAAAATAAAATATATATTAGTATCTAAAAGCTGCTGAAATTTCAGGCTCCTACAACCTTTTGGAAAAGTGCTAAAAAAGCATTTAATTTCTAACCCTGGTAATTAATAGAATTGGAAATGAAGATAGAACTAAAGCAATCATCAAAAATATCTATTAACATTAGCAATATTATTGAATGCACTTTAAAAACGCTAGCGAATATCATAAATTTTTGATTTTTATTAAAACGAAGACTAGATGGTTTTCTAAATTTATTCTATTCCGAGTCATGCGAAAAAATTTGACATTTTCCGAAAGTGCAATTTTTATGAAAATTAAGCAAAATGTCCCCAGACATTTAAGAAGGAAAATCAAAGAATCAAAGAAAATACAAAGCAATGCTACCCAAGCATGCTTTGGAATCTTTTAAAGTTCATAAATTTTTCACAAAAAAATGGTCCCGTAGCATTTATAAAATTAAAGTAATAATGAAATCCAACAATACTAATAAAATTTTGTTAGCATCGCGTGATGAAATCATCAACAAAAAAACAAGTTACTTTTGTTTTCTATTTTAAAAAGTGTCCTTCTAAAAAAAGGGACAATTAAACCAGTTACTTTTACATTTTCTTAAAAAAGAAAAACCACATTTAATTGTTCTACACTATTTAAGGTGATCGATTTAAATTTTATTAAAAAAAAAAAGTTAAACAATAAATTTGTAATATTAATAACCCTAGTGTATATTTTTTATATATATGTAAATATATAAGTATGTATATGTATGTACGAAATGTTTATGATCTATAGACAAATTTTTACAACTTTTTTGTGTAGTAAGAAAACAAAATAACAAAAAGGTTGTATTTTTTTTTTAATTTCAAAAATCAAAACCATATTTGATATTGAAGACATATCAAATGAACAACAGAATTAATTGAGAAAGTTTTATAAATTATTCATTCGATATCTTTTGAGTTTTGCTATCAATGTCACATCATTTATACAAACACTTAAAAAATCTTGAAGAAAATCTTATATACATAGGTATATGAAAGTGTATATAGTATATGTACATATATCTACGTAACCTACATCTACCTACAAGAAAAATACATAATAAGCACAAAAATTCATTTTATGATGTCATTTTTTTTTCTGGCGATCATCTTAAATGAATTTTTTGCATTTCTTATACGTAAAACCATACACACATTTATTACTTAAAAAAAGTTAATTTAAATTTTTGTATTAAAAAAAATAAAATACATTAACTTTCTTGTTTATGTATGGAAGTTATACAAATGTATTTACACACTTAGCAAAAATTTAACTTTAGAAAATGATTCAGTTCCTGTATATTAATAATTTTAACCGAAATTTTAATTAAATAGTAAAAATTATTCATCATCGAAGGTAATCATATTCTTTTCTTTAACTAAAAATATTTTGCTTATTTTTGTTTTTGCTATTTTGTATTATCGGATAATACAACTAGTAAACAAGTGAAATACATAATATACCCCTCTATTATGTATATCGGTATCGGCCGATAAACGATAATTTATCGGCAAAATTTTGTGTTTGTATTACCAACATTGTTTATCGGTAAATTTTATCGGAGTCGGGAAAGCTTTTTTTCCCTGTATAGGAAACGTATTAGCTGGTATTATGAAAACGATAAATTGTCGGGTTTTCACCGATTTAAAAGCGGGTACAAATTTTTAGACGACAGATTTTTTTTTTGTAAAATCTTCATTTTATCAAGGAAACTGGTGTAATTAATTGCTTTTTTAAAATGTAAGCATTTTTTCTAAATTATTTTCTTTCAAAATGTTATTCATATATTTTATTTAGGAGTAAAATCGTAAGCAACAAAAAACAAATTGCGCGGTTAGTAGAAAAAATGGAAGAGGACTTAAACCTGGCAAGGAATGATAATCTGAAATTCTGGATAAACCTAAAAAATGTGTACATATTATATAAATAATAAAATAAAATAGGTACATAAACATACATTTTGTTGTCTAAATCCAATGGATTAGTTGAATCTCTTATATGTCGTCTTTGAATAGCTTGCGTTTCTTCACTTTCAAAATATAATGCACGTGACATTTTCCCGATATATGTATACTTTTATTTTACAAATTTAACAGAAAATAATTTTCTTACAACAACTTTTTAGCACATCAAAACCAAATTCAAAATAGTTTTAAAAATTTTTTGAAAATAACTTTTGAAAGAAAACAAATGTCATTAGAAAAAAAAACATTTTCTCCAATTTACAAAAACAAAAATTTGTATGAAAAAGCTTCTTTTAATCGGTTGAAATATTTTTATCGGTATCGGTTCATAATACAGAAGAAACCCAAAACCGATGAGAACTGCCGATAATATATCGGCCGATACCGATGTTCATAATAGAGGGGATAAAGATATTTCAAGCAATAACACATAAATACTACAAAAAAAGCTTTAAGTCTATTATATATACTTAATATAAAGTAGAAAATTGCGTGATCTTGAGTAAAATAGAACAAAATTATTTTTGTTTTCTTTCATTTTTCTTATATTTTGTTATATTTATAAAGTCTCTCTGCATTATAACAATATTACTCTCGAATTTTTAAAAATAGGAAAATTTAGTAAGATAGTCGAACGCAATGGAATACAATTCAAAAAAAAAAACAAAATAAATTTTTCACTGACAAAAACAAACTGTGTAAAAACATCTTCAGTGGTGAACTCGATCTATTCCATACAAATTTAAGTTTTATGTCTTTACCGCTATTCTTTTGAAATTTAAGTGACAGTTGAACAACAATTAAAGCTATTAAAGAAAAAAAAGAGCGAGAATAAATTTTATTTTTTATTTTATTATTAAAAAGAATCAACCCTAAAGATCTCTTTCCTGAACTGAACATAACACATATAAGAATTTCGGCTTACAAAATTATATTCAATAATAAATTAAATTAATAACCATATTTCCTTAACATCCGATATTAAATACAAGCAGAATAATTATCAATAACCTTAAATATTTAAATATTAAAAGCGAAAAGTTTTACTTTATATAAATGTAAGAATTATTTTAAATGCGAAATATTTACATGGCCTTATTGAGTGTTAAAAATTTCCACATACAGGTATTCGCATTTACGAAAAAAATGTATGTATGTAAGGTTTCAACAAAATATTTTTTCTGGAAACATTTCAATTAACGCTATAACTGATGACTTAAATAATTAGAGGTTGGATTAAGTTGATATTTTAAAAAAAAAATTAATAAGTTTGACAAGTTTCATAAAATATAAGTCTTAAAATAACCAATTCTACTGAATCACAAAACAATTTTACTTATAATCGATTAGGAAGCAAGTGTACCACTGCATTAACATATTCAAAAGCTTACAACCATACTTTTAATCGTAATTGGTATATAATGTATGTACATATATATATGTATGTAATATAGATACATAATAGGTATACAAATATACATATATGTAATATGAAAAATTTAAATATGTTATGCATTTTTTAAATTTATTTACTCGCTCACAATTAAATAATATTTAAATTATTTAATTTAATTGAAAATAATTCAACTTTATACATAAGCTTTTATATTTTAAGTTTTTTTTTATATTTTTAATTAAATATTTTTTAACTAGATATTAATGCGAAATTTTTTTATGAATAGAAAATTATATGGTGAACATTGCAAAAAAATAATTTCATGCTACAAATTTTTGAATCAAGTTGACAACATCATTTAAAACAATCCATAGAAAAACAGATACCACCTATACTTTAAATTACCTTCGTAAATGCATACAAATATTATTTATACTTTAAATTCTTGTTATGGGTATTAAATTCGAAATAATAATATTAATGTTACATTACAGACAAAAATTGTTAAAATTAAACTTTAAATTTTTATTGAAAATTGTCTGTTTTTCACCCAAATTAGCCGGCCTTCATTAAAGCTTTCAATCAATTATTGTATTTGCTATATAAAATTAAAAACCTATAGAGACCCGAATATAAACATATCTATGTTTAAAGATCAGTAAATTAAGAATGTATGTACATAAACTGCTAATACACATAAGGCTATGTGCTCAACGTATAATGCATGAAAGCTCTCTAATAATTTATAATTCCCATTCATTAATTGTTGTTATTATATCACAAAAGTACAAATCTAAATTTTTGGAAACTAAATTTTCAATGGTTTGGCAAAAAAAAAAATTTGCACAAAAAAATTTTTTTTTCCGACAAATTCATGTAGGTTTCAATATAATACAAGTATATATATGTATATGTATGTATGTATGTGTATAAAATAATATATGAATATTTTTTATACTTAAACAAAAATATTAAATTAGGAAAAAAAAAACAAATTTATTTAATTTTTCTTCTCACCTTAGTTACTTCAGTTATTGTTGTTACATTAGCTATATCTGCATTATCGCTTTCAATTTCTCTAATAATATCATTGGGTACAACAACAGTATTTTCGCTAAATGATTTTTCGTCTACTAGTTTCCATTTACCTGTTTTAGAATCAAAAAGTTTCGTTGTGTAGGTTGTTGTTGTTGAATCAGTGACATCATCCAATAATTTTGGAACAAAATCAGTTTCAACGTTTTTTGCATTGCTTATTATTTTCTCGTCAATTATTTTCCATTTACCAGTTTTTTGATCTAAAACCTTTTTCTTATAAACAATTTTATAAGATCCATCAGCATTTTGGCTAACATATTTCGTATATGATGGTTTTATAATTGAACTTTTCGCATAAGATGAAGATGATGAAACTTTAGTGCTACTACTACGAGATTCATATGTTGATGATGATGAGGACATTTGTTTAGTACTTGAACTACTCATATTCATGTTACTTGTTGTATTTTTTAATTGAGATGTTAATGATGATGATGATGATGTAGTTGCTGGTGATATTTTCGTAAAATCGGTAGTGCTTTTTACAGTATTACTACTATAGCTGTTATTCCCATTGCTAGTTAATTTTAAATTATTATCTATTTCAGAAGTCGAAGATTTCAATTTTTTATCACTTTTTTGTCGATCTTTTTCGACCACTTTGATTGTTGATTTTGTCATTTTTTTCTCTTTCTTTCTTTTATTTAATTATGAAAAAAAATTTTTTTTTTGTTATTTATAATTTAAAATAAAATGTCTTTTATTTATTATGAATATGATTACGTGTTAAAAATTATTAAAAGAAAAAAAAATTAAAAAAAATTCTTTTCTTTCTACAAAATTTTTTAAAACTCTAAAGCAAAATGTTAAAAATTTTTATCAAAAAAGCAAAATTTTAAAATTAGCTCATTACTTATTCTAAAAATAGAGTATTAAAATTTTATTATTTAATCGTTCGGTCTAATGTAATATGCCCTATAAATATATTATATATACATATAAAAATTTATTTTTTACGTATTTTTATCCGCAAAGTCGTACTTTATACAGTCACTTTAAAATTTATACTGTCTGACTTTAAATTCAAGTCTGAAAGGTAAAGCTTAACTTTAAATTCCTAACTTATTTGAATTATGTATGTAGGATTCAACCCAACCTACACAAAAACGATTCTATTTAAATATATAAAAAGAGAAATGGAAAAAAATAAGTTAAAATATTGATATATTAACTACAGCAAATTATAAACATTTAAGCTAGATCAAAAGCTTCCTTACACCGGTATATATGGGAACGAAAACGAATGTAATAAAAAAAGAAAATGTTTGTTGTTTTACAAAGCTAAAATATAAAAAAAAAAACAAGAAAAAAAACAGTAAAAAGCTCTCTATATTTTGCTCTCTTATATTTTCATTCAACGTTATTTTCTGTTTATGTATATAAAATTAAATTGTTATATTTACATGTGTATATCACTTTGAACTCGTCTGACTGTATCGAACATAGCATATACATAAGCAATATAACGTTAATTATTTATTGTGGAATATGCGATCACTTCTTCTAACCATTATTTTTATCTAATCATACGTATATTGTGTATATAATATGGTTAGGTCCATAAAAAAATATAAAAAAAAAATTTATTTTTTTCTTTCTCATTTTCTATCATTTTCAATGTAAACTCAAACAGGTTACGTGAATTCTTATATAGAAAATAATCTATAGAGGTATAGTTAGATATCTTCATAAATGTTGGTAAAACGAATATGTAGTTTGAAACTTATTGGTTTATTATTTTTATTTTACATTTATGGAAATGTTTTTAGATTTTAAACAACGAACAGTTCAATACTTCTTTTTGAATTACCACATTATATTTTAATAACAAGTGTGATCGAAACATTTCATACTAAGGTTATTATATAAAAATATATGTACACATATATATACTGGTTATATAAATAATAAATAATATACATACATATAATGTATTATGAAAAGGTAAAAAATTCAATAATATTAAAAGTAACTCAACCGTTAAGAATTGCAGACATTTTCTTAAAAAACTATTATAAAAAATTTCGTATATTAAAAGAATATTAAATATTGTATTCATTAATATGAATTTCAAAGAATAAAATAAAACAAAATGATTAATCTTACTATTTTTTTAGTCACTTCTAAAAAGAACAAAATTTTCCCTATGTAGCTAATTAACTTCATCACATCTAGTGTTAAAGACATTATTTTTCGCATATATTTTGTTAGATTTGTTAATGATGATGTCATTTTTTGTTTTACTTCAGTTCATAAGTTAATTATTATATTTTCACCAATAGTGTTGACTATAACCTACAATAATAGTTACGATATATATACATTATGTACATACATATATACATGTATAGTATCTAAAAAATACAGATTTGATAAACTTAATTATTTTGTTTATTTTATTAATATTTGATTACTATTATTTACATAAACATTTATATATAAGATTATACTTACTCCTTCAAAAAAAATTAAGCTCAAAAAATAGATTGCAATCGATTTGATTAGTTCCAGGATCCAGGAGGCAGAGACAATTTGCTACATTTCAATAATGTGGATATGTAAAACATTAATTAAATAATATTATTTTGATTAAAATTTTATTAAATTAAATTACAGAAGAAAATTTTTGCCTATTGTATTTCTATTTAAAAAAAATTAAAATTTATTAAATTAGAGGCAATAAACAAAAATATTGCTCTGTTTATTCAATTCGTATTTAATTTTATTTTACAGTAAAACTAAAATTATTTAATTTTAACAATTTAAATTTGGAATCCATTTTTTTATCCAGCTAAAAATTCACACATAAGTATGTAAGTATATGTATACTTTCAATTTGATGTATAAATATTACACACATACATTCATTGTACTACAAAAAATTTAGTTGCTTTACAGTCTACAATATATTTACACTAATTATGGTAACTTGCAATTGTACAACCATAGGTTTAGTAAGACCTACCCAGCCTTATTTTGTCCTTAAGATCATTTATGCACATAGCTATATACATATATTTGTTAGCACATATGTACATACATATAAATATACACCTAAGTAGTAAGTACATGCATACGTACCAAGATTTTTTTCTTTTTTTTACGACTGCAAGAAATCTTGTCCCAGATTCAGATTTTGTACTAATACGGTATAATTTGCTTTTATTCAACTTATTTTTTTTGAGGAATCAGTCCGTTTGGCACATCTTTTGGATAAACCAGTAAGTAATAAGACAATGAGACATTCGGGAATTTTGACATCTCTTTTCTAAATTTTTTTCTCTTTTTTTACAAACTCGCAACGCGACATAGCATTGAAAAATATTTCAAAGTAAAGGATTACATCATACACATGCTGCAATCTTTCATTATGCTGCTAAATTCCATAGCTGAATCCTTGATTCTTTTTGATTGATCCGCTTCAAACCTTCTTAAAAAAGCCTACATAATGCCTAAAAAATCAAAAATGAAAAAAAAAAAACTATGCTAAAAAATACGACGAGTGACGACATCATTGCGTAAAAACCGGAATTGAATATACATATTGAGATATGAAAACAGTTCATCCTTTTTTTGTTAAACCATTGGTTTGCCCCAAAGTGGCTATATCGTGACGTCACCAACGAAATTTTACAAATTAAAAGAGCATGTGTCATAACATTTTGCAAAAATTTAATATCGAAACGTCATAATTGCTTGCAGGTTTATAATTAAACATAACTATGATGTTCAAGTCCAATGATAAGAACATAAGCATGAATGTATATGCATTCATACATACATATATATGTATATTACAAATACTACAATCTGCGATGATATGAAAATCTTTTTTTTAAAAGCTCTTAGAACAAAATTCTTTTATGAGATTTTTCATCTTGTTTTAAAAATAACTTATCTGTGCTATAAATTTTGAATGAAAGCTTCGTCTACTGTATATAAATATTTACACATGTATACATTCCTTAATTTTGAGAAATTTAACACTTTGAAAACCCAATTATGCACGTGCCAATACATACATAGCATTTAATATAACGCGAAACTAAGTAATAACGGTATAAATACATATACAACATTTTGTTAAATTCTCAAAATAACTACTTTTAATTGGTTGCCCTAAAAAAAAAAAAGTATGTTGTATTTTACATTGTGAAAATTTACATTAAATGTACAGAATTAATCTAAAATTTCTTGAAAAAAAATTAAACTTTCACAAGATTTCCACACAAAAATAATATTCAACTATTGTTTTTATCAATAGTTAAATGTTTGACAGTCATATGGTCAAATGACGTAATGACAACAGATGACTGATAAAAGAAGCAAGCACACTTAAATTATCATTCTCCCTCTTTTCGCGCGAATTGTTATTTTTCAGTTTGATTTGAAACTGAAAAGCGAAAACTTTATCTTATGCCATAATAAGAATATTTTATGATACGTACAAAAATAACATTCGTTTTATGTTTGATTGCAGTAGATGGAAAGTGCCTATCAAGGTAAAGTCTAATTTGATAATTATAAATATATTGTTTATCAATAAGAATAACTTAAAAAAAATAATTTTTATTTTAAGTAACCTATCACAGTCTCCTATAAGTTCTAAACTTAAACTACTATTCAATATTTCTTTTATCGACAGAGAATTGAAGATAGGATTGGCGAAATATGAGTTTGAGTCGCTGGATATATTGATGAGACAGCGATCTAATGTAGCGAAAAATTTTGTTTCTACTATTCTTGCAGTTTTAAAATCCACTGATTTATTTATCGTTATCAAAAATTTCGAAATGAAAGCAAAAAAAATTTCAATTTAAAGAATTTCTATATGTGACAGATTTATTAGAAAATAACATTATGAAATACCATAAAAACATTATAAGCGGAATTCAATGATACTCAGAATTTTTTTTTGTTTAATTTTGAATCAGCTGTTCAGAACAAACCTATTACCTTGAAATAAATACAAAGTAATCTGTTAAATTACTTGTGTGTTAATTTATTGAATTAAATAAGAAATTTCTGACTTTAATTAAAAAAAATTGAGCTTTAAAAAACAAAATAAAAAACAATTCAAATAAAAAATTTAAAATAATTGTAAGAATCAAAGCGGTGAGCGACAACGTCGGACTATTTGTTGTTAACCCGGAACAATAGCAGAACGGCAAAATCTATACACTATTTTGCATATAATATCGCACACACGTGGAAACATATAATGGCAAAAAAACGCTGACGGTAAAATAGGAATTTTGGCAATTTCAGCGCAAACGGTGAAACTCGCGGCGGTAATTTCGCTTAATTCCAGGCAGTCTCATTTAAATATGTGTATGTATTTTATATGAATTCTGACATTTCGAAAATCACTCTTGTTTCTTGTTCTGTTTTCAACTCAATTTTAGAATTTTTTGTTTTCTGATTGATTTTGTTTTATTTTAAACGTTATATGTAATTTCTTTAAAGAAACACATGCCATGAATCATGATCAAGGTTACCACTTTAATTTGAAGTTTTGCGTTTACCATAATTGATAAAAAAATGTACTATTTGGAAAAAAATAAAGTAAATTAAAAAAAAACCTAACATGAATTAATTTTTATAAAAAAAAATTAATAACAAAAAATAATATTTATAAATGTAATTATTTTGTAGAGTCATAGCTAAATAAAATTAAATTTGAAGTGAAATTAAGTATTAACTTTGGCCATGATATTTCAGTGTAACCACTGCCATCTATCGAAGAATATAGATATAATAAACATTTATTACAAACTGAATGACACACATCCTTCTTTCAGAAATACATATATTTTTTTTTTGAATATTCCTTTAGAAATGTATGTATAAAGAAAATTAATAATTTGAAATATTTCATACAATTTATTCCAAATTTTTAAAGTTATTAAATAGTATTGGTTTATATCTAATGCCAATATTATTTTATTAAATAATATTGGCATTACATATAAAACAATTTTTCGTGTCCATAAGAATCGTACGGGAAGTTGCAGAAATTTCATTGCCGTAATTGAGTTTACATTGGCAGAGACAGCGACAACAATTAACATTAAAAGTAGTCTAAAAATATCGATTTTTATTTATATTTTTATTTTGCTTTTTACTTCTTTTTAATTTTTCTTTTCAAATCGTAATATAATGACGATTAAATTTTTATTTCCAAATTAAAAATTACCTTTTTCATTCAATTGCTATTCATGTTGCAGCGACAAATGTTCAATTTTCCGAAATTTTGAGACTGTCGGTGTTGCATTTAGCAGTAATATAACATCATTTTTGATAAAATATTTTGATAATTCGTGGAACTACCGCTCAATAAATATTGCAACACGGTACAGCTCCAATTCGCTCACCGCGTTCATTAGGGTGCGTAAAATCCTTTTACTGCCAATCATGTTTGCTTTAAAATATTTGCAAGTTTAATGCCTTAGTATTTTCTCAATGTTGGTGGTACTGAATGTCATAAAAAATGTTTAATTTGCGTAGTGTTGCCATATTATAATCTAAGTTCTTTAGCTGACTTTAGGTATTTTTTCGTTATTATTGACAATAAAATCCAATAAGCACGTATTTCGTAATATTAGATCTCTAATCAAACAAATACTAAATACTAAATCAAAACAAATTTTAATCAATTAATATGAATTTTCACAAATTTTCAGTTTTCCTGCGGGTCAATTAATTGTCGGTGTTGTATTAAATTGCAATGATTTACAAAAAAAAATATTTATCTTATATTTTAGAGCATGTCATCTAAAAAAATTCCAAAACAATTTTAATAAATAATACTATATCAAATATATGGCATATAACACATAAAGTAATAATATCATATAACATCATATGATGTTATAATATTAAAATGCAATTAAAAATGTAATGAAACGTAAGAATCGAAGAATTAAGCAATATTGTTTTTAAATTTTTATTTCCTATAAATTTTATTAGCATCATTTTTTTCAGGCAAAAATTGAATTTTAACTATGAATATAAGGGGTAACGATTTGATAAGACACATATTTATTGGATTTTACAACATATATGTAGTTGAAAACCAGTAAGCAATATTACTTTTTTAAATAGCAAGAATATTAATGCTAAAAACAACTTAGCGCCAATGCCAAAAACCGATTACAAATTAATTTTACAAAGTCAGTTAATAAAATTGAAAACATTTGGCAATATTGTTTGTATGGCCAAATGGAGGTTGAATCGACTACAAAGTGAGATTTGCCGGGATAATTTAGCGTTTACAAACTTGTTTTTATTACAATAGATTTTTAAATAAATTTCATTTACTTAATTTGTAATTTTCTTTAATTACTACACGTAATTATTACATTATATATGTGTTTTTGAGTTTCGAAATACCTTCAGCAGATTTTCAGTGTGTTAAAACAAAAAATTGGGCACGTGGTAAGTACGCAATTTATCTTCAAATACATTAAAAAAAAAATAATTTTAATAATATGATGGCGTTTAAAAATAAAAGTATCCTAAAAAATTAATCACGAATCCTTAACTTGCATGGACTTACAAAAATAATACTCCATGTTTTAAACCAAAAAAAAAAATATGCTTAGAATTCATCTAATTTTGACTATTTTCTTGTGCATAACTTACAGGAAGTGGTTATTACTTTTATTTGTTTCAGATTGGGTAATTATTCCTGGGCATTTCATTAAGATTAAAGTTCTTGTTGGTTTTCTGGCAAGCATCAACTTTAGTCGTCAATGCATCAAAAAAATGTTTGAATAATCAATTCTTCATTAATTTTATAACTAAAGCGAACAAGTATATAAAATGGGATAATGCTAATTGCTGAAGGAATAATTTTTTTTATATAAAAACTGATTGTAATACGTATAGATAGGTAGGTTATATACAAAACATGTTCAAAAACCAGTTTAAAATTCATTAATATTTTTAAATACATATAATTTAATGCGTATCTATATTTTTTTTTCATATGCCTATACGTTCATTGAATGTACGGCCAAAAATAAATTATTATTTGACATTACTTCAAAATTTAAGAAGTGTTTCAATTCCTAGATTCTTGAGCCGTATAAATTTTTAAATTCATAAAATTAAAGACAATTTTAGAGTTTTCCAATGAAACACCAAATATCTGCTGCAATTCCAATACATGTCACATACAACGCCAATAAAACTATATACAACATACCTATATGTATTAAATTGCAATGATTTACAAAAAAAAATATTGTTCTTTTATTTTAGAGCATGTCATCTAATTTTATATGTTTTAAATGTAAAAGTGCTGGCCATTTTGCTAGGGAATGCAGTAGTGGCGGTGGTGGCGGCGGCGGTGGAAGAGATAATCGTAGAGGTGGTGGTGGTGGAGGCGGCAATCGGGAAAAGTGTTACAAATGCAACCAATTTGGTCACTTTGCAAAAATGTGTAAAGAAGAAGCTGAACGGTGCTATCGCTGTAATGGTAAGGCCTTTTCAATTGCAACATTCAAAGTATTTATTTCACTTTTAAACAGGTACTGGACATATATCTAAGGATTGTGACCAACCAGCTGATGAACCATGCTGTTTTACATGTCGTAAAACAGGCCACTTAGCTCGTAATTGTCCAGATCAGGAAAATCGCTCATCGAATTTGACTTGCTATAATTGCAAAAAAAATGGTCATATTTCTCGAAATTGCCCAGATTCTACTAAATATTGTTATACGTGCGGGAAATCCGGACATATAAGTCGTGAGTGCGCTCAAACAGCTGGTAGAAGTTAAATACATAAATGGCAAAATAATTTTGCACAATGCATAACGTACTTCGTTATAAAAGAAATTATTAAGAAATAGGAATTAGAAATAAAAATTGTTTTCTATTCAATGAAATAATTTAAAATATTAAAGAAATAAGATCTAGATATACATTACATACTTAATATATTTTCTGAACGTGGTGATAAATTATTTCCTTGAGTTTTTTTAAATACATAAATAACATTATGCCTTTATCATTTTTGCTAAGTAAAGTTAAAACAAAAAGATTGCTTATTTGTTCCAATTTGTTACGTTGAAGAAATTTTTTATTCATTTAAGAAATAAGGGGAATGCAATTATGTTGCATTTTTTATTAAAGAGAAATATTCCGAGTTTTCAATTCCTAATTTAATGAGTTTTTTTGAAATAAAATTTGGTTTTTCTTTTTTTTCATTTTTCAGAAGAAATGACTATTATTTGTAAATTTTAAGTTCCGAAATTTATTAAATAACTTAAATGATATTTTGAGTGTTAACTGTTGTAAAATTTAATTTCATGTTTTGGCAAGGCATAGAGAAGTTTCAAACTATCAAAATTGAAATATTTAATATTTGGCATGAAAAATAAGGTAAATTTTACGCCAAATCTTTAATTTTATAGACGCCCAAATACTATGGAAATTTAAAGTTTAACCTGCATGTTTATATTGTTCCTCAAGAAAATTGTATTGTTTGTGTATTAATCTCAATAGTCCTTCAGTAGAATTTCCAAAGTAAATTACTTTTATATTTTACTGAATTTTAATGCCGGATTTAAAGGAATATGACGTAAATTACATAAATTAACAATATAACGCAAATTAAACTGATTAAGTATGTAAGAGGAAAATGGGGGGATTTTTGATAATTCAACTGTATATTAGGGTTCAATATGAAACACGTTCGATTAATCCGAACTGCAAAACCTCTAGAGCAGCACATTCGAGAATGGTTTTACCTTGAGTTCTAAAGGAATTTTTAAGTTTTTTTATAACTACGTACTACAATAATATTATAAATTAGAAGAAAAGCATAATAGAAAAATATTGGATATTGTAAAATTTCTTGAGTATGTCACAAATCTGCAAAAAAATATGTACATACATATGTATATTCAGTTTCTATAAATTTTAGAGAATGTGATAATATCTGAATTATCGAAAACCCCCTAACCATGTTTATTCATGTAAGGGTGCTTTTGATAATGCAGCTCTTAAATTTCATTTGGTTTGTAAATGAAGGTTAAAAAGCCTAGTTCTAACCCAAAAAAGTGCATCTTCAAAAACTTCCTAACATTTAAAAGGGTGAACTTTTTCGTATCGCGTGATTCGTTTTTTCCAAAATTTAGATAACAGTTAACAAGTCCATAATGACATATCTAGTTGAAAATATAAGCTCTAATTTGAAAGTTAACAAAAAAGTAGATAATGCAGACAATCAGACTGGTAAATGCTGCTTACATCAAGCACCAAACAACTATCAAAAAAGACGAAACAAACTTCATGTAATCAAAAATAAGCAAATAATATGGACTAGTTTAACAAGCAACAAGTTAGGGCCATCACTTACATACCGAAAGGGGAGATAAAAGAATGGATAAAAAAAAGTTAAATAGGGGGAGAAATAGAAGGCCAATTAAAATAAAATGACTGTTGACTGATCAGCATAAAATGCAATCACGAACACACTAAGAAAAAATAAACTTTAAATATCAAAATAATTTATATCAGCAAAAGTATTTCAGTTAATGATTGATGGATTTGTATTTAATTAAATTTATGGAATCGAGAAGTTTTCCAAATTTTAAATAGTTTTGACACTTTGACAGTAAAGTTCGAAGATTTGTTTAATTTTTCGCTGTATATAATGAATAAAAATACTTAACACTAATAGCGTTACGTGATATGTTAACAGTAATCAATTAATTTTTTATTATCCCTTTTAACGGATTTCAAAGTGTCAGAATTTTAAACTAATGGTGAAATGATAGGTCAGTTTCTCGTTGTCAAATTTATTCAGCAAAGTTTTAAATTTTTTGTTAAAAATATAAAATTCCCAATAATATTCACAATTCGTTAACTTTATTTAATCATGGTAAGTGTAATCATATCGTTTTTATATCATGATTGTAACTATGATCTGCGGATTGAATCCTTAATCGGATATGTTATCTCCTAAAGCAGCGCTGCCAATAAAAACTGGTGTTACACAATTTGATTTATTAGCCTTTATTTCTAACCAATTGAGGTTAAGGCTATAAAAGCAGAACAAAGTTTTATGATGTTGATTTGACAGTAGATCTTTTACAGTTCTAAGCAGCTAACTACAAAAACGTGCGGCCTTTGCAGATTTTTGTTAGAACTGCAAACGCGAATTCAAGCAGTTGCTATTATTTTAGCTATTATATAAACACCAATTAAACCTAAGTTAACTAAAAATACAAAGCTGTGATATAAGCGGCACAAACACTACAAAACTTTAAGAATCCTAGCTGTAATTGTTAAGTTAAGAAAATAAGTTATTTTTACTGGTAACTTGTAATTATGCCAAACTTGAAATTAAAAAATGAATTTACCTAATAAGACGATAAGATATAAGAATAAATTATCAGGATTGATGTTCATGTAGATTGGCGTTTTTACCTTCTTCATAATTTACGACAGCCCTGTCAGATGTTATTTCAATTTTGACTTATATGTATTTTGACTTTTATTCATGTTTTGTTTTTAACCGATTGTCGATTGGCGCTTGTTTATTTTTAAAAATTGAAATTATATCTACATGACTATTTTTTAAAAATGCAAATATGTCGATATTGCAAAACTTCGAATAAACCATTTAAAAAGCTTTATAAACAATTGCTTAAATTTGTTCAATTGAAGGTTCCTAGTGTGACGGTGAGTAGTATTTGTTAAAAAATTTTTTAAAGATTTATAAATAAGAAAATCCTAAAATATTACAAAATTTTAAATCAAGGAAAAAGATATATTTTGCGAAAAGTGCTTTCTTAGTTTGGAAAATAGATATAAAAAATTTAAGGAATATAAGAAACGATTGAGAGATTCTAATTCTTTAACTTCACATTCAACTGAAACGATTAGTTCACCTGAATTACCAGTTGCAATTGCGTCTAGTCAAGAACCGGAATCACAGACTCAAGGCTTTAAATCGTTTAAAAGCTTTTCTGTTAGTTCAGAATCAAGTTTGTATTAATTTCGAAAGCGTAATTTCTTGTATAATTAATTTGATGCAAATATTTTTCTGTTTTTAGTTGGGTCTGATCCTGTCCCAAAAAAGCTGAGCTCTTCAAATGGTTCTAATCTCCTAATTGTTCCAAAGCAAACTAAATGTTAGATTCAGTTATTTATAATTTCTTGATAAAAATATGTAGTTCTTTTTATAGATCCGACGAAAAAATCCACATTAAATATAGAGAAAGTTTTACCTATAGTACCAAGGAGAGAAGTATCTGAAGAACTAATTGTAAGCTCATCATCAAGTAAGTGGCATAAAATGTTTACAACTGATTAATACATATATATTAATATATATATTAATACATACATATTAATATATTTCTCTTTAAAAAAAACAAACCAGGTACTAACCCAGTTAAAGTTACGACTAAGGCAATTGTACATTCTATCAAACCGTCACAACAGGATAGCGCAAAAGTAAAGCAACTGACAAAAGTCTCAAATGTTACAACAAGAATTACAGGTAGAACTTCATTCTCGCATATAGGTTAAATAATTAAAAATGAGCATTAATTGAATAGATAGAGAACGACTTGCAAGATTGGTTGACGAATCACCTAATCAAATTGTGCCTATAATTAATAGAGAAGAAGTATCTGTATTGAGTGGACCAATTGTGAATGATTCATCGGATATGGAAGAAGTAGAATATGAGGGCTCCGACGATGATATATTCGATCCTGCAATTCCATTACCAAATATACAGCCTCATGTAAAAAGTATTTATGTTTGGCATGTACATATATTCAAAATTGTAATTATAAAATTTTTTGTAGAAAGAAAAGTTATAAGATCTAAAAACGAACCCTTGAATTGGAGCTACAAAACCGGGGGATGAATAAATATTCCTTGTAAAAAATAAAAGACAATGTTTTCTGTGACTGTAAATTGTTAATATTGTTCGTAAATAGCCGTATATTTAGGTACTTAAACATAAGAAGTTTCGGCATTTATTTTGAACGAGAATATATGTGTTTTTTTCAGTATTTTGTTCAATTAGTTTTACCTTTGATAAAATTGAATAATATTAGCATTAGTTTTAAAATTCAAATTTGATTATTAAGATACATATGTACATATAATTATTAAAATTTTTTAAAAATTGTTACTAATAGCAGCAGATATTCTTAAAAAATTTAATTTTTCATTTTAATATTAAATTAATTATCTGAATTTCTGATATTAGTCAACTTCTTCCCTTCAAGAGAAAATTAATAAGTATATTGATTATTTGTAACAACTTACGATATTTTTCCTAAATAAGTCACAAATAATTCCATTTATTGGCTATAAAGCTTAAGTTTTCAGTTTCGCTTTAAAATTAAATAATAATTTTATATATCGTATGAAAATGTACAAAATAACATATACTGCTAATTTATTCTTAGTTTAATTTATACGTCATAACTCCCTTATTTTAAGTTAATTAATTGATCCAACTTCATTATTTTAAATATGCATTACAGTAAAATTATCATCTATTTAAAAACCAAACAAATCTTTCCTCAATTTTAATTTAAAAGTACCTTTATGCTTATCCTGTTTTTTCTTTTCTTTTGGTGTTATTGGAGATTATTTAAAATTGACAAATATTTTTTTGATGTATGGACATTATGTTTGAAGTAAACGTTCAATTATCAGAAACTCACGAAGAAAATATTTTTGATAAGTATGAAAATTGTTTTTGGTTTAAAAATAATAGTTAAATACTAGTTAAGTATAGGAAGTTGTAATATGTATGTTATACGTGATTTATTTATTAATATATGTACATATGTACATCTATTCCTACATATTTAAATTTATATTTGTAAAACTTTGTATCATATGGGAATAAATAAATTTATAATAAAAACTTTTATTCAAAGTGGGACATTATTAATTACTGATTTTGTAAGTACAAACCTAGAACTATAATTGAGTTTCCGCAATAAAATGACTTGCTAGAATATGATCTTTTCCCCTTTATGCCTCGAAAGTAATTCCTTATTTCAAACTAAGACTTTAAAACGAGTAATTTTAAAATTCCATAGATCGAACTAGGGTATTTTTTTATAAATAATTTTATATATGAATATAGTTATTTGAAATCCAGGAAGAAGAGCATGGTGAATTATGTATAGTATGCTTTTGTACCATTTTGTACGTTATAGATTTGGGTCTGACAGAGAAAATTAATTTTTATTCATTATTTTTTTACTTTATCTAAATCTTATATGGCATTCTTATTCTAAAATTTCAACGAAAAATTAGTAAGACGAATAAATCGTTAGAGTGTCTAACTTTCGGCTAATATCAAATTAATCAAAATTTAAAAGAGAAGTAACGATTATTTTCATAGATTTAAACACATATGATATGCAAATATTAATGCCACTAATCCTAGTGAGTTGAAAACAGAACCAGAAGGATTTTCGTATATTCTACATTTTGGTGAAATTTCAGAATTTACATAGAATATGTAGAAAATGTAGAATATTTTCACATAGAGTAGAACATATTATGGGACTGCCCAAAATCAAGCGAAATTACAGCCTTGAATTTAACCGTTACCTGTAAAGTAGCTTAAATTTCCATATTACCTTTGGTGTTTTTTTTTTTTTTTGAAAATATCTGTTTCCATGTTTGTGTGACATTACACGCAAAATACTGTACAGATCTATTTGCCGTTTCGCTGTTATTTTGGGTAAACAATGCAAATCGTCCGTCGTTTCCGTTTATCGTTTTGGTTCTGTTTTTAAATTGACGTGAAAACAGAAAGAGGACGATTTTCCGCGCTGAAATGTCCAAAAATCATATAGAATACGCATATGTGTGTAAATGGAACTGTCCAGAATACAGGGAAATTACCGCTGTTTTTAACTTAAGGCGGTTCAATAGCCTGAAATCCTATCGTTGCTGGCTTTTTTGGAATAATCTATTTCCACATGTAAAATACTGAACAACTCATTTTGACCTTCCGTTGTTGTTCTGTGTTATCAACGGAAATCGTCCGCCGTAACCGTTCACTGATTTGGTTCCGTTTTACACTTATGGGACTGAATCATCGCATTAAAAATACTATAGGGAGCAAGTAAAATCATTGAATCCAATTTTTTTGCAGTTGTCTCTTTCTTGAGATGTTGCTAACGTTGGAATGTGAACATTAGTGCCTTGAGAGATGGTTTTCCAATGCAAATTGTGCATTCTGCTTGAGCTGCACCCGGACGAAGTGTAGGTTACTCACTCCAATTCTGGGGCGGCGAATTAGAGTGAGTAAGCTACATTCTCTATTAAAAATAAAATTTGTGTGATGCAAAGAAGAACCGTGCATATGCTCATGTATAGGTTGGTAAACAGATCCATCTTTTTTATATTTAAATTTTATGCACGACTATTTATGTATATTATTATACGAGTAGTGTATCTGTTACTTTTTAACATATTACCAATTTATATAACTTGGTTGATGCAAAATTGCTGCGTAAACGCCTTGAAAATAATCAAAAATTTAGAAAATTATAATATATTATAGGTTTGTTATAAAAGGGACGTGGAATAAATTGAAAAGAAATATAGGTATATATTTTCAATTATGTGAGCTCGACGATTTTTTCTTCAATAGATAACATATAATGTTTCACTTCCGATTCCAATGGAAGTGTGCAAGGGGAATGAAACATACATATGTCAATCGGCAATGCGAAAGTCGTTGTGTAAACGCAGGTACTGTTTGCTGCGATATTTTATGAAAAAGTTGGCTAACTGGCAATGACACATGTTAACATTGTTGATATGTATTCAAAACATTGAATGAAACTTAACGAAAAATGTAGTTAGTTAGCCCTGGGGATGATCAAACTATCAAACCGAATATAGTACACACACTGTAAAATATTTCTACTCAAAAATAAGTATGTGAGCATTTTTGTGACACTATCTTTTATTGATTGTTAAATGAAAATTAATTACAAAAAATGTTTAGTCCGGGTTTGTAATAAAATGAAATTTAAATTTAATTAGAAAATGAAAATTGTTTGGAAATACATTTTTATATTAATCTGGTTTGCATATTTGATATGCTCTGGAGTAATTTTGTTCTCACGAGGTTTTCTCTTGTCAAGAATCTCGAAAAAGGACGTAAGCACCTGCCGTCATCTTTCTACTAATGCAAATGAAGTAAACTAGTAAATATTTTACTTTTTTGATGTTAACTAATAATTTGTTGTAGGAATATTATCTGAACCAAGAAATTGTGAAAGAAATTTTTAAAGATGTAAACGCTTCATCAAGCTTATGTCTTCCAAAAAAGTCAAAAGTTATAATTTTAGTAATTGATGCCTTAAAGTATGAGTTTGGCTTATATCAGCCAAATTTAGAAAAACCACTGCCATATCAAAACAAACTCACTATTTTTGAAGAGCTACTCACTAAAGAACCGGATCAAACACGTTTATTAAAATTTTTAGCTGATCCACCAACGACAACATTACAACGTTTGAAAGGTATGACTACAGGGAGCTTGCCAACTTTTGTTGACATAGGTTCGAATTTTGCAACACCGGAAATAAATGAGGATAATATTATTGATCAAGTGATTTTTTTTGAGTTGCATTATAATTGTTTGTGATTATATTAAATTAATTGTTAGGTGACAAGGAGTGGACTATCTGCCGTTTTTCTAGGAGACAGCACTTGGACTGACCTATACCCAAAAAGATTTAAACGACACTACTCATATCCAAGTTTTGATATTTTTGATTTAGATACCGTTGATAGAAAAATTGAAAAATATTTACCAAAGGAATTGAATCAGGGAGACTGGGATTTATTAATTGCTCATTTTTTAGGAGTAGATCATTGTGGTCATCGTTATGGACCACTACATCCTGAAATGTCCAGAAAGTTAACGGAGGCGGATAATATTATAAGGTAGTCGAATCATATATATATAAAATTGTGCGTACGTTTATAATTTTTATATAATTAATAATCTCAAATTTATATTACTTTAAAAGAAAAACAATTGAAATAATGGATAATGAAACAACATTATTTGTAATTGGTGATCATGGAATGACAAAAACAGGTGATCATGGAGGAGAATCAATTGATGAAATTGAAGCATTGTTATTTGCCTATTCAAAAAGTCATAAATTTATAACGAGCGACTTTGGGTCGAGTAATTCATCCATGCGTCAGGTAAATCTTTTCTGTACATTTTAAAACAATTGATTAATACCTAAAAATTCTTTTAGATCGATGTAGTTCCAACATTAGCCACTATACTTGGAGTTCCGATTCCATATTCCAATTTGGGTCTTATAAATTTTAACTTAGTTCCTGATATAAAAACACCGTATATGTTAAAATATCAAACCCTTTTACTACACGCTTGGCAAAATGCAAAACAAATTTATAACTATTTTACACAATATGCTGTTGAAAATGCGCACACTTTTCAATTCGATGACATGGATGATGTTCAAAATAAATTTCTAGTTTTAACACATCGTGTTAACACTATTTATTCAGAAACGGCTTACAAAAATTTTATAAAAGATTTAAATCAACACTTAAGAGAAATTTTGAGCACATGTCGAAATATTTGGGTGAAGTTCGATGCCAATCAAATGTCTCAAGGACTATTATTAACATTTTTACCAATATTTTTTGCATTTTTGCTAATAAACAATTTAAAGGTGTTTCAAATTGCTCGGGTTTTTAACACCAAAACAATTTTATACATATATTTATTTAACTTTGCTGCGGGAGTGTTCGCATATCGATACTTCAAAGATTTGCAAATGAAAACAGAACTTCACAGTATTATATTTTTTAGTGGAATAGTTAGTACATTTTTCTTGTCATTATTAACTGTACATAATTGGCCGCAGATCGCTACTAATTGGAGCCATGTTAAACGATTCGTCAATTTTCCAACTAGAATAATATTCCTCATTTCAACTAGTATTTATTTCTCAAATAGTTTTATAATACAGGAAGCAAAAATTTTATCATACATGTTAATTTGTTTATTATTAATTCTTATGTATGATTTGATAAGAGAAAGTAATAGATTCGATGGTGCATTAAATTATTTAGCGAACAATGTTTCTTCAAATAAAGTGCCAAAATTTAAATTAAAGGTTTTCTTTAAATCTGTAATATTTAAATTAATAATATTGGGAATTTTCGCAATCACTTTGATACGCTTTAGTTGGACACTGTTCAAATGTAGAGAAGAACATGGAAATTGTGATGAAAGCACAGTATCTCCAAATACATCCAATTTGTATAACAAGTATAATTTAAAAATTAAAACCTATTTAGTGTCGATTGTAACGCTGCTTCTATACACTACTTTAACTAGAATTTACTTAAAATCTTGCGGAAATCTTACAGGATTCTCGCTTAATGTTTTATTAGCTCGATATGGTCCATCAGTAGCTGCAATATGTACTAGTGGTCACATACTTTTATCGAATAGTCCGGTTAAAACAGTAAAAATGTATCATATTGATGGAATGGCATGGGTTGTTTACTTTTTACTAGTACTGCAAATTTTAATTTTATGTATTAGTCCTTTAATGACGCATGTTCTACCACCAAGACAAAATTCAATTGCTATCAATCCATACAGCAGTATTGTACCTGAAATATTCAAGAAAATGAAAAAAATTTACGAAGGTGAATGCGAACAGAAAAATAATGAAATTCCTGTTGTATTCGGATTGGCTACAGTTTATTCTTCGATATTGATATCTTTTGCCGTTTTCTTTTGTTTAACTATAATTCTATTATTAGAACCCAAAGCTGTTGTCGGAATTGTTATTTGCATAATTACAGCTATTGTTATTTTAAGTATCCATTCCATATTAAGATTTAGAACATCAACCAGTTTGGGTAAGATTAACAATTTAGTTATTTAATTAACTAGTTAATTTGAAAACTTAAACATTTTTTTTTAGAAACTTGCGTGCAACCAACGTTTACCGGCGTCGTGACGTGGTATATATTGGCACAATATTGTTTCTTTGCCACTTCACATCAAACTACATTATCGCAAATTGATTGGAGAGCTGCATTTGTGGGGCGTTCTGCAAATTTTGATCATTCAAATGTTTTATCTGCTATATTAGTAATATTAAACACATTCTGTGGACAAATTTTCTTCACAATTTTATCAGGTTTATTGTGTTCTGAAACATTTTCAATTTACGCACTCTTTCCACATTTAAAATCAATTACTGGACCAACAAATAACAGTTCATTGCAGCAAAATAATTCTAATTTTTCAAATAGTAATAATGAGAAGAAAGTAGATCGAGAATTTAGTGGAAATGTACGTAAAACTACGGTAAATAAAATATCAAAAGCAGAAACGGGTTCATTTGTGTATTTGGCAAATGAATTTGATATCACTCGCGGTGAGCTTGTCTTATATGAAAATGAATCCATGTACTTTGGATGTTTATTTAAATTAGCTATTCAGTTATTTATGTTACAAGGAATAAAGGTAAATAAATACTGTTTTTTTTTTGCTTTTTATAGCAATTTAAAATTTGTTCTTTAGGTTTTTTGTTCAATGATGGCTTGCACGATACATTGTCGTCATCTTATGGTTTGGAAAATATTTGCCCCACGTTTTATATATGAAGCAATTTCAACTTTAGTTACACTTCCAGCTGCTATAATTGGTTATTTGATTTTATTAAGGATTCATTTTTCGGTGCACCGTTTAATAAATCAAATCAATAAGACTAAGTAAATATTTAATAAAAAAAGTTGACATCATCTGTAAAAAGAAAAACAAAGCCTAATAGTTGAAGAACCAAAGAATCACCGAAACAGAAGGGGCACATGAAATAACGTATGTAAATATTCGAAATATTTAATATAAGAAAAACAAAAAAAATTTGCAGAAAAGCAAAAAGCAATATTGTACATTTTTCAAGAAGTTTGTTTTAAATTTGTATTTATTAATAAATTAAATTTGTTTTAAAAATGGTTATTTAGTTCAATAACATTCGAATTCCTTTATGGTTTAATGAGTTTTTAATCTGAAGCTTTCTCTACTATCTTATAAATTTGAAGCTTGAACAATTTGAATTTTCTTAAAAAATGTTGAGTAAAATATCTTTAAATAATAGTTTTATGAACAAATATTTCAGTCATACTTGTTTATAATTAAAAGTGGTGTGGATTATTCATATTATGTATTACGATTTCGAGTAATTTTAGTTTAATAAATTATTTATATTTCTTTCACTGATTATCGTGGATTAAATCATTGTATTTAATTTCTAATATCATGGATGCAAATTCCATATTTCCATATTTCTAAACACACATACATACTTCTTGGGCAATTCAAACATAAATTATCAAAGGGGTTAGGCACTTAGTACTACGTTAGAACTAATTTATGAAAAACACTCAAAAACATGTAAATATTTTCTGAATGTTTCTAAATTTTCCAGAATTTCTGGAGCATTTTATATAATAATGTACTGAAAACATTTAATTTTTCCCTCCCTTCTTTACAATATTTCTCCGGAAATGTATAAATTTTATAGGAAGCACATTGAGAAATGAAATTCAAAGTTTAAGCATTAGATCAATGTAAACCAGTGGCAAAGAACTTAAATGATGCCAATATGAGTGCAAAAATTGTATTTTTGGAAAAATAATAAAATATGTAATAAAATAATTAACATAACTTGTTGTGAAAATGTTATTTTTGATATTTTTTAAAATTTTTTGTTAGTGATATGAAGATAAAGCAAATACCTTTCACTTTGGAATAGAAAAGTTACATGTTAATAATACGGAGTAATAAATGAGTTTTGAAACCCCATGTTTTCTTGTAAAAAACATTATTCTTGAAACATTGATCTTGTATATAAGACACTACTTCCCGTTTAACAAATGATAAGTTAGTAACGATTAATTATGAATACATTACTGAAGAATTAAAGAAGATTTTTTGGAAAAAAAGTTTAACTTTGCTCCTAAATTTACACCATTAATACACCACTTCAAGGTAAATTTCATGAGTTTCAAAATGAATAAACAAATTGTCTTTGCCTTGCATTATTCGAGTTATCAACAAAAATATAATGGGGACCCAAAAACAACTGAGCAAATGTGTCACTAGAGTTTTTTTTTTGTTTGTACTTCTAATAACTTCATTAGTTTAATTCCTTTCTCTTGTTTTTTCAATAGAATATTAAAAAAACAACAATTTCAGTTTTTGAAATAAATCTTAATACTTTTTATTCCTCTTCATTGGTAGGCTATTTTTACAGATACATAATTGTTTTTTTTTACTGATCAAATTTAAGATGGTTGTGAATAATAAAAAAAAATCTTATTATATAATTATTGTTTTTTCTTTTATATTTTAATAAAATATAATAAATGTATGTAAAAAAAAATTATTAATAATATTTTGATACATTTCGTATGTGTTTGAATTTATAATTATATGAAATATCTTATTAATTATGCATCATAATATAAATATTAACCTCTTTTCTTATGTAATATTTTAAAAAAAAATTATTTCTAATATAAAATAAAAAAAAAGAGAATCAATCCGAAAATTAATCTTATTTTCATTCTTATATAATTTCTTTTCTTCTTTAAAAGAAAAAATAATTCAAATTTTTAATTTTTTTCTCGCTTTATTTTTTATAAAATTTACAATGCATTAAAAAAACAACATAATTTTAGATAATTAATATTTATTTGATTTTATTTATTTTTCTTATTTTAATTTATATATTTAAAAAAAAATAATTAGAAATATTTATGCGTAATAAGTAAAAATTAACTTTTATTAATAATTATTTAATTTTAAAAGAACAAATAGCATTTTTAAAAAAATAAAAGCATTCTTTTTCAAATACTAAAATTATTATTTAAACATTTTAGTAAATTGTGTTTTATACATTTTGTATATATATATAAAAAAAAAATAAAAATATATATTTATAAAATTAATATTTTTAAGGTAGCACACATATAGCCTCGAAAATTAAAGTGATATTAGTAAAACCAAAGGGACTACACAGTTTAAAACAAAAAAAATTAATATAATTAGAAAAAAGCTTTTGTTTTTTAATAATTACTTTGTATTTTACGTGATATTCTAGATTTTTAAATTAATAATTCGTTTTCCAGGATCCTATTGCACCAATTACTTTTACTATTGCTTTTTAACTTTTCATTTTACAATGAATTGTATTATCATTAGAGTTTTCTCAAATTTGATGCAACAGAAACTTTTCAATTTTTTTGATTATTTGAATAAAAATTGATTAGTTAAGTGCAATGGAGCCTAGAATATGCATTAAAAATATATTTTTTTTAAATAAAAAGAAATAAAAAGTCAACAACCCTGAAATATTCTTGTTAGACACTTCACTTGCAATGATAGATTGTAAATTAAATAAATAAACTTGAAATTCGATAATGATAATCAAAATATTTTTTAATAATATCCAATCATTTCAAGTGAGGTGATCAACAGAATATAGGTAGGTACTCGTAATAGAAATTAACTTTCTTAACTCTTCTTTTTTTTTTTTTTATAAAAAAATTAGCTAAATAAAATTTACTAAGAAAAAAAAAATTTATTCAAAATTTGTGTTAGTACAAAAAATTAGAGTAATTATAATAAAAATAAAGTTAAAATATTTTAAAATTAAAAGTGTGTAAGTAGAAATAAATCTTTTATACTCACTGGAAAAATATTATTTCTAAATAAAATATTTTCAATAATTTTAAATATTTTTAATTAATTTATTAGATTTTACATAATCAAAATTGTACCGAATGCATTTGAATACAATTTTGAACTTCTACTCAATTATAAAAAAATTAGGTAATTTATAATAAAATTTGCGAAATGTAAAATTAAAAATAATTAAATAATATTGGTTTTATAAACTCATTTCATATTTAACTTAAAAAAAATTATGTAAAGGTAATAAATTTTTAAAAACTTGTATTTTACAATGAAATTTAATAATTTTATTATTTTATTTTCGTTGCATTGTTAATTTTGTTATTTTAAATAAAATAAAAATAAATTATACTTGTTGTTTTATTAAAAGTTCATTTGTTTCATCAGGTTTTCTTTATTTTAAAAATATATTTAATTTATATTTAAATATATTTTATTTGATTCAACAAAATTAAATTTTTTTTTATTTAGAAATAATATTTAATTTAGTGTGATGTAAATTTTTTAGATTTATTATTTTTTTTTTCTGTATTTTACAAGGTTTTAATTTATTTTTGTGTAAATATTTTCCAAATTTTTATCTATTTTATGTACCTATAACAAAGAATGCTGTATATAATTTTTTAAAAAAATAATTTATTTCAGGAATGTTGGACAAACAATTTTATAAAATCCCCGTAAATTATATTTTATTTTTTAGTACCTTTCTATTTTTAATAAAACATGAATCATTTATTTTTCATTAATTCATTTACTTTTTTAATTTTTTTTTTCATTTTATCTTGTTTTTTTTTTTAAATATTTAAAATTATTTTGATTTTTATATTGATTTTTGAAATATGTATGTATGTATATATGTGTTATGTACGTTTTAAAAATATTGCAAATATTTAAAGACTATATAAAACTAAAAAATAATAATAATAATAATATTTCTTTTAAATATATTTCGTTTAAGATTTAATAATTAATTAATTAATAATAATATATGTATATAAAAAAACATATATATATATATATATATATATATATATAATATGTGTATATTACTTCTTATGTGTATATATTATGTACGTTTATATAACAAAAAAAAAAGTTTAGTGTTTATGTGCGTAAAATATAATATGTAAATTGGTACATTATATAAGTTTCATTATACTAACATTATTTAAAAATTTTAATAAAAATACAAAATACACATATTTTTATATAATATATTTTAAATGTAAAACTATAGAGTTAAATGAAAAATAAAAAGTAAAAAAAAAATAAAAGCAAATTTTATAAATGGTTTTATAATTTTTAATAAAAGCAAAATGTTTCAATATATTTCAGATATTTTTTTATAATTTTTATTTTCATTAAATTATTTGAATATAATAAGGTATCGCATTATGAATGGAAATTGTAAACAATTTTTAGAATTATCATCCTTATGTAGCTTTTAAGTTCATCCTTTAATAATTATTTTTATAAAGTTTTTAATTGGGGGTTTGTAATATTTGAAATTTTTTAATATCAATTTAAAAAGTTAATAAAATGTTCAAATTTAATTATAATTATAAATTGTAACAATTTGCATAATTTTGTTTTGATTTTATTAATTAAGAAAAAAAAAATGCATTGATTTTTATCATTACTGAAAATATGATTAGAAAATCATTGATTTTTAAATTGGGGATTTTCAATAATTTAGTTCTAATTTAAATCTTAATACAAAGCATATTAGGTAACTCAAAATTGCAAAATTTTCCAAAATAGCATGTTCGAAAATGACAATTGTGTGATTAAGGTATTGAAAGAATTTTTAACTTTTTTTATTATAATTAGAATAAAAGCATAATAGAAAAATGTTGGATGTTTAAAAATTAATCGAATATGTTAGAAATCTGCACAAGAAAAATAATTCAGTTTCTGTAGATTTGTAAGTCTATGTGAAAAAACTTTTAAGATTTAATTTAGAACTTTCAGTGTATGTATGAATCATCGAAAATCTTCAGTATTGTAATTTATATTAAACATTAAAAAGTGAATTAAAAAATATTAAATAAATTTTTTTCTAAAAACAAATTATGTATTTAATTTCTTTTAACAATTGAATTTTATGAACTGATCTTTTAAAAATTAGAAGTAATTTGGTAATTAATAATTTCCATTTATTTTTAAAAGATAAATAATAGTAATGCTTTTTGAAAAATATAATTGAATTCTATAATTTATAAATTATTAAATTACATTAAAATGAAAAATTACAAAAACTCCATAAAATTGTTAAAAGATTAAAAGATAAATTTACATATTTTCTGAAAGATTAAAAAAAATTTTTAATTGCTAGAAAATATTGTAGTTTGAACAAAAAATTTTTTTACATTTAATAATCTTTGTCAGAAACACAAAATGAAATGTCGCAAAAAAAATACAAATATACAAAAATATTATGGATTTCTTCATATTAATTATTATATTCAAATATTCAGTGTATTTTCTGTTTAATAAAACAACAAAGAATTTATTTTTTAATTTTTTGTGTAAATAAAATGTTTGTTTTTTTTTTTTTTTTCAAACTGAAAAAAATAATATTTCTGTTAAAAGTGAGAAGAAAAAAAATATATATTTTTTTTTATATAATTATTATGTAATATATATATAGATAACTGTATAAGTATGTACATGCTTTTTATATACCATCTAGGTTTATTTATTCTTTTTTTTTTTTTAATTTTTGTTTGAGAAATGTAAAGATTTTCTTATTTTCTTAAGTCTTTATAAAAGAACAATTATTGGAATTTTAATTTTTTTATTTAATTTTCCATTTTAAATGTACTCTCTATTTGAAAAAAAAAGTAGAAATTGAAATTAATTTTTTTTTATATATTTTAATATATTTGTTTTTTTTTAATATTTTTGTTTTGTAATCATGGACTAAATTGAAATCACATTAAAATATTTTATATTTGAAGTCAATATTATATATATATATATATATATATATATATATATGTAATTCAAGTTTATATATATCTATATATATATAGTAAATATATATGTATATATGTATATAAAAACATGTAATTTGTAATATGTCTCGGGTACGTATGTTTTTTTTTTTTATTAAAAGATAATAAATATTATGTATAAAATGTTGTGTTTTGTTAAAAGATTTTTGTTTGTTTTCAATTTCTAAAATGCATAAGTAATTTAATAAAATGAACAAATTGAAAAGAAATTAAAATAAAAAATTTTTTATTTCGTTTCGAAACAATTTTTTTTTCTTTAATCCAAAAGATTTCATTAAATTTAAATTTGCTTCTTATTTTATAATTTTAATTTGTTTATTAATTATTAAATGAATTCTTTTAATAAAACAAAAGAAATTAATTTAATGAATTGTTGTTCTATTTTCTTTTGTAATTATTATTAATTGGTAACATCAAACTGTGATTTAATTTCAAACAATTTTATAAGTTTGTATTTTGATTAAAATCAGAATAAGTCGACCAAACACGTTTTTTGTTTTTAATTGTATAAAAAATGATTATGATGATTAAATATTTAGCGAGTTTTTGTTTCTTATTTCGGTTTTATTTGTGCAAAAAAAGTTATAAAATAATAATATATAAAGTGTTTTGGCAATCATCATCATTATTATTTATTCTTGTCATAGTCAAAGTAAGTGAATGCAAAATTATAATCACTTCGAAGATATTGATTTAATTTATTGAAAATGAGTTTATGTCCCGGTTCGTTATAATATTGTAATATTATATTTTTCTATGATACTATAATGAATGAAGTTTCTTTTCGAAGTGATTTTGAATTTATTTCCTGCATTTAAATTATGATGCAGGGTCTATAATAAAGTTTTGATGTAAAAATTAAATAGAATCTCAATTGTTTATTCCAATTTTTTTTCTGTTTTTTTTTTTTTTTATTTTTACTAAAAAAAAAAGTCAACTAAGTCCTTAATAAATGTTTTATGTATATATAATTATATGTATACCCATGCTTTTCTTAAATCTATTATTTATCAGACGATAATAATAATTATAATAATAATAATAATTTCTCATTTTATATATATATTTATACATATATATATATAAAAAAAATGTGTAATATAAATTTTTTTTAAATTTTTCTTTTTTTTATATTTCTTTTTTTTTCTCTCTTAAAACAATATCGCCATTTATCAGAAAGGTTGTGCCTCTTTATAATCGCTTTGGTCCAATGTATAGAAATCTTCTAATTTCCATTGCAATGTTTCAAATGTTGGTCTTCTCATAGGATCTTTATGCCAGCATTCTAACATTATTTCATATAATCTTGGTTCACAATTAGCAGGACATTGCATACGATAACCATGTTCAACTTGTGTTAATACTTCAGCATTTGTCATTCCTAAAAAAAAATAGTAAAAATTTTAATTAAAACCAATTACAAAAAAAAAAAAAATATAATATGCAAATGAAAAAATTTTGAATATTTTAATTTTTACCTGGATATGGAATACGTCCATATGTTACTAACTCAGTTAAGAGAATACCAAAACTCCATACGTCTGATTTAATTGAAAATTTACTATAATTGGCTGCTTCTGGTGCAGTCCATTTTATTGGGAATCGCGCTCCAACTCGTGCTTCATATTCATCTTCTTTTATAAGTCTGTAAATATTAAAATAAATATTATGCAAACAAAAGAAAATTTTAAGTTCTTAATTACTAAATTTTGTAAATTTTTTCAAGATTTTGTTTTAAATATAGAATTTTATTACCTTGCCAAACCAAAGTCTGCTATCTTAACAATATTATTATCAGCGACCAATACATTTCTTGCAGCCAAGTCACGATGTATATAATTTTGGGATTCTAAATAAGCCATACCAGCGGCTATTTGAGCAGCCATATCTATTAATACTGGCATTTTGAGATTTCTGCCTTTACCTAAAATATAATATTCAGGTTAGCGCAAAGGTAAAAATGAATTTTTAAATTTTAAAAAAATTGAATTGGAAAATGAGTTGAAAAAGTTATTAAAGTTAATAGAAATTTAATTTTAAATATAATCACAATATATTTGAATATAAGCCTGTTATTTTTGAGTTACATAGCAAGTTCAAGAGTTAAGGAAAAATAAATTTTGTATACATATTTTCATGTACTAAGTTCTCGAGATACGACATTTTTGGTTCCAGAAACTTATGTCGTACCTCGAACTGTCGTTTAAGGAATAAAAAAATTTTGGAAACAAATAAAGCTGTTAAAAAAAGTTAACAGAATATAAACAAACAACAAAATATAAAAAAACAGCAAAATATAATAACGAAATTCAATTTTGTGACAAAAATAAATAAAATAAAATCTGATTAAGTTGATATATCACTCCAATTCATATTTTTAACTACTGACTAGTATTTTTAACAAGAAAGAGTTCATTATTGAAATATGTGCTTTAGTCTTGTCTTATAACTAAATTCGGTTTAAAAAAACAGTAAAATCTGTCAAAAAAACAATTTTTTTTTTAATTTTTAATGTCAGGAACAATGTCGCAAGCCGATTGAAACTGGTCCAAATTTATGTCGTATTAAAAAATGTCGTATCTCGAGGACTTAGATAGTTTACAATGTGAATTCAATTAATCCATTCGTTATGAAAATGTTAAGTCTACATAAAAAAAAAATTAATTACCCTGTAGATATTCCAAGAGAGATCCATGCTTCATTAATTCTGTAATAATGTATATTGGCTCTTCAATGGTACATACTGCATACAATTGAATTAATTTTATATGTCGTAATTTTTTCATAATTTGAGCTTCAGCCAAGAAATCTTTTGGATCCATTGTTCCTAAAAAAACAAATTTATAAATTTATAAATTTTCAATCATTACGTAAAAAGAAAAACAAAAAAATAATTTTTTTTTTTAATCCAATTTACCTGATTTTAATGTTTTAATTGCAACTGGAGTCGTATTATTCCATAATCCTTCCCATACTTCACCAAATTGTCCCGATCCCAATTTTCGTACAAATTTTAATGAATTTCTGTCAATTTCCCATTGATCACGTGTACGGTGTGATAAACCTTCAGTAACTGGTTTTTCAATCTAATTGAAAAAAAAATTGAATAGTAAAAATTAAATAGTAAATTTTGTATTAAATTCTAATTGAATTTTTTCAAACATTTTATTATATAAGCTACATTTAAATACATACATAATTTATATATATATATATTAATATCATACTTAAAAATTAATTCTTTTTTTAAGTTTAAATCTAAAAAATAAATTTATGCACTAGTATACAAAAATTTTAAGCTCTTATTAAAAATATGACACGATAGAAAAAAAAATTATAGGTACATAATTTTAATTTTTTTTTTTTTTAATTTAATTATTTTATTTTGAAACACCACAAAGTTGTGTGAAAATAATAAAGTGAAAATAAAATAATTTCTTAATCACAAAAATTTCTAAGATAAAAAGAAAATCAAAGAAACAACGGAATTTCTTGTAATGGAAATATGAAAAAAACAATAAAAAAAAGTTCTTTAAAAATAAAAATGTTTTAAATAAAAAATTAATTTCTTATTTTATAAATTATAATTTACAAATTTTATAAATAGTTTTGTGCAATTGATTTCGTGTTAAGTAGGAGATCTTGTTAACTATCTAATTGGACAACAAAATTATGGGACTAGTGTAATAATTTTCTCTTTTTCTCTAGAAAGACTAATTCTGAAAAATGAAAAGTCATTAAAGTGTTGCCATAATGTTCAAAATAGTACAGGGAAAAGAACTTTTCTTTGACTAATTGCAGATTTCTATTGGTATTATCAACACATCAACACTTGCCGCTATGGCACCTTACGAGTATAACACAATTTGATCACAACACTATATAATCATTTAAAAAAATTAATAACATCTTAGGTGCAACTTACATTTGTTAATGAAATTAAAATAAAAAAATATTGAAATTTCACATATAGAAACATTAACACTCTTATTGTAAATCTTACTCGTAGCACTGAAATTCGGAGAAATTACGAATTTTATATTGTGAATTCCCAAGTAGTAGAAATGTATTACGAAATTCGTAATGGTGTAATTATGAATCACACTCGTAATGAAAATAAGTGTCAAAATTCTACTTATGAAATTTTCAAATGTAGAAAGCCAGTATTCAAGAGTGGCAGGTTAATTTTTTTAGGTTTTTTTATTTGTTAAATGTTTTTTTTATGTAAAGAGGAAAATGCAAGTATTTAGTGGAATTTATTTTATCTAACGTACATATGTTTGTTATATAAAAATATTTTTGAAGGAAAACGAGTTCATTTTAATTAAGTTTTTTTTTTGGTTGTTTGGGTTTGTTCGGAATCTTCAAATAAAAGTTGTACGATTTTGTCAAAATCGAAAAAAAAAATAAAATTTCAATTTAACTTTTAATTCCTACTGTTTTTTTGAAATGTGTATTACTTTTTTAAATATCTACTATGTTGAAAAATCCAAATGTTGTCACTTGGCAGCTGTAATAAAATAACGATTTTGACACTCGGAAAAATAATGTGGCCGTTGCAGATTCACAATCCTTACAAGTGAGATTTATAATTACTCAAAAGTTTACGTGTGTAACTTAGTTTGAAATTCGTAGAATTCTACGAGTGAGATTCACAATAAGGGTGTAAATTTCAATTCAAGTTTGTATTTAATTTTAATTTTACCTTTATGACTAAAAAATCAAAGTTTTTAAATAAATATTACGAGTAATAGTTAAATTTATTAATAAAATAATTTTTACTAATAAATTTAACTATTTTTGAAGCCATAATTTGTTACTAGGTTAATTAGATAACCATATTGTTATATCAAATAACTTTCACATTTTATAATATCAATAACTTTCATGTTTCATGTTAATATAATTTTTAAATTTAGTATAATTAATATAATATTAAAATTTTATTTAGAATTATTATTAATTTGATATTTGCAGAACGTTTTTTGACATTGGTGGCCATTTTAAATAATGTTTGTTTTCTAGCAATATTGTTGCTTAATAAGTGTGGTGTATTTAATTTTAGCTTATTGACTCGAATGTTGTTAAAATTGACTCGAATTAAATTTTATTATAAAATATCGTTCTTAAAAATGTCAAATTCTTATGTAGTTTATAAAGCGAATAAAAGTAAAATTACAATTAAATACAAAGAACCATGGACTGAAAAGTTAAAGTGTAAAATGCTTCTATGCATATATTTATGTTTTCCTTTTTTTTCATAGTTTTGTGAATTTGACACAAAATGTAAAAAAATTACATTTTTGTTTTGAGTTTTGGAACAAAATATTTTTGCATTATAATGACATTTTCATCAGCTACAAATATACGAGTACATACATACATATATTACTGACGTTAACCCTATTGAAATAACTGTAATATTTTTTAAAATTTTTTAATCTGAAAAAATTTTAAAAATTAAAATTTACAATTAAAAAAAAAAACAAATAATATTACTTCTTAAATATATATTATTTAATGACAGATAATCAGGGTTGCCACTTATATATAAAATTTTTTAAATTGCTTCAAAGAAAAAAATCGATTTTACAAGAAGTTAAAGTTTTCATATTACCTACAATGAAACGCAGAAAATTTGCTGCATCCAATTTTATAAACATAAAATTTACATTAACAGCATATACGACTTATGAGAATAAACATAATGAGTCGATGACATATAAAATATTTGACAATTTAAGCGTCAGTAAACAGAATGAACACTTTTATCCTATATGCCTATTGTGAACTAGATATATATGTACATACATTTATAAAGTATTTATAGGTATCTAGTATCCAAAATAAATATACCTCCTAGAAAAAGAATTAAATGACAGAGACAAAAATTTTACTACAAAAAAATCTAAATTAAGAAAGATTGTTCCTAATCTTCCAAGCAAAAAAAAAATTATCCAATTTCAGAAAAAATATTCAAAAACGGCAACCCTAATCATAAATGTTATGGATTTGCTATATGAAAATATTTCATTGTTATTTTTTTGTCTTGCATAAAAATGGTATATTAAAGCTTAACACAGCAAAAAAAAGTGACATGTAAAAAAAGAAAATATTATGTACATACAGTAAGTTACCTATTTAGCTATAGCAATTACTGCTTATAGTTGCTTCAAAGCATTTTTTCTTCTAGCAGTAGTTCTTTACGTTTTCCTTTATTTCAAAAACAGCTTGCCATTTTTATTAATATGAAAATTATTAAATTCAAGAAATATAAGACTCAAAATTATTCCGGATTCCGGAATGGTTAAGTTTGAGACTAATCGGTAAATAGAAAACTGTTTTATATAGAAATCCTGCTATATAGAAATTGGAAAGTAGGGTGTTATATACCCTTAAATGATACCTATCAAATGAAAGGATCGATTTAACTTATTTGTATTCAAATTCTACTGCAATATTATTGAAGGAAGTAATAGTTAAGCTGGTAATTGTTAAGATTTTTATCATTTAATAGAATAGAATGAACTTACTTTTGAATACGTTAAATGTATTTGGATGGTTTATTTTGAAAATAACCTAAACCCATTTGCAATTTCAAAACTTTTCTATTTCCAAAGCAGTGAAAATGCCAATAGTTGCTTATAATTTATGTTGTTCGGTAGGAAAATATACGACAAAGCAAATAATCAGTTAACAGATTTTTTTCTTCCTTTAAACCCAAACGGAGTAATATACCAGCAAACCATCCATTTGTACCAGAATTTATTTAGAACATTTAAAATTTTAGAAGAGTTCAATTTGCAAAATGTCGTAAGATTTTTAACTAACACTGTATATTCTTTGATATTTTTCTATTTTCTTTTCCCAACTTCAAAATTGTTACTTCAAATATTATGATTTTAACAAAGAAATAATTATTCATTTGGTATCAATTAAAAGAAACAAAAAAAAATTAAGTGTCTGTTCTCTATGTATTCGCATAATATTGAAATAAATAAAGATTTTATTAAATAATAAGAAGTAACTAGCAGTAACACTATAAATAAAGCAAACATTATTTTTTTTTTTGCAAAAATTTTTCTACACACTTTTAACAGACCAATGACAATCTGTTTTTTTTTTTAATAATCTTTGTTATACTGTTATAAAAATGTTGTAGAATGCTGACTTTATAATGGAATTTCAAGAAGTTATACATACATTTGTACTTTTGAAAGCGGCATTGAAATATAAAATATTATTATGCAAATATTCTTTGCAAAGCTTACATAATAAATACATTCATAGTTAAACCAAATACATAAGTAATAAAAATGAATTAAATTGTAAAAAAAAAATGTGGAACAAAAAATGTTTGTTAAATTTAAATTGGAATAATATCAGAAATTTAATTAAAACTCTGAGTACTTGTCTAATTTTAGAAAAATAATCTAATAAACTAAGAAATTGAAATCACGATAACAAAATTCGTGTTTCTATATTGAAATATGAATAATTTATAAATAAATTTTAATTTGACATTTGTGATAAAATCAACAAGTGGAATTATATTTTTTAAAATGGCGCTCACAATTCAATTGTTTCATTTGTTGCCAATTAATTATATAATTACTTTAAAAAAAGCCAAAAGGGTATGTTTCGAAACAGTTAACTTATTTTTTATGCAACAAAAATTAAAAATTTTAAAGCACCGGTATTAAAAAGTGCTTTAAAATTTTCACTATATATTTTTAAATTAAAATATTTGGTGGAATATTTTAGTGATAGCTAGATAATACAAATCTTTTAAGCAATTTTAAAGCCATAAAAATTTCAAAATCGATTTTATTAAAAGAAATTAGAAGAGAATTCGTTTGATTTTCATTAAATTATAGTTTTCACTTCTCCTTTTTTTTCTATAATTTTAAAAATTATAAGTATTGAAAATATCAAATTTTGGCTTTACACAATTGTACATTTTTTTCCCGACTGTCAATAATTGAAATAGTATAACAAAAATTTTTCAAATTTAAAAATAAATTTGTTTTTATAAGCTAATTTGAAATTAGTAAGAGAAAATTTATTTTGGAAATTATTTTAGGACATATCACCTTTTAATTAACCGGATAACCGAAAGAAAATGAGAATAAAATATGTTATACAAATTTGTAAAACATATATTTGTATTATTGTATTTGTATAACATATTTTTCAAGTATTAGAAGAACTGTTTCGTATTCCGTATTTTGTTTTTTTACTTAGTTTGTTAAAAAATGAGAAAATTTATTTGAAAAATTGAGTCATCCAATAGTAAAAATGATAAATCCAGTTCTGATTTGAAAATGTATAAAAGAGATGACTAGAAAGATGAGATACATAATCAGGCTGTAAAAATAGAATATAAATTATATGGGGTAACAATTGGAATTAATTAACTGCCCCAAAATATATGCAATTTTAAGTGTTTGAAAGTGGTACCTTTTTACCTGTTAAAGTACATGCATACAATTTATAGAGTTACCCTACATTTTATATTGAACTAAAAATTATTATACACTCTACAATGAATAACAATCTAAATTTTTTAAATTTTAGCATTTTTTAAAAACAATTTGCTTGCTTAACTTTTGTTTAATTTTTCAATTTAATCTCATTGCTATAAGTATGTTTTTTTCTTTATCCTCTAATAAATTTTTAATAAAGATATTTTGGATTCGAATTAAATAATTAAAATATTCGCATACTTATGTATATGTGTCTATTTATAAAAATATTAAGAAATCGGAAGTAATTGAAAAAATTTTATGAGTATTTCCGAAAAAAAAAGAAAATGTTTGCAATTAAATTGTTTTTTTTTTTTCTAGTTTTAGACTATAATTGATTAATATTCAAATCTTTATTCGATTTTTAATTTAAAATTTGAAGTTCTCGCATATCAATTGTCATTGATTATTTTAATCGTGTGTAGAATTCTTAAAAAAGAAAAGAAAAACTTGATTTTTTTATTTTTTTAAATTAAATAATTAAAAAATTTTTTTTTATTATTATTGAAAAAGAAAAATGAAAAAGAAACAAATGAAATGAAAATAATAATTTGCTAGAAAAGGTGAAAAAATTTTTTTGTGAAACAATTTTTGCTCTTTCTGTTTTTTTTTTAAATTATTTTTTTTTTTGTAAAAAAATTTTGTTTCCTACCTCAAAAAGACCTGCAAACTGGTTAGCCTAACATAAAAATGCAAAAAATATAAAAGAAAAAACAAGTTGAAAAAGAAAAATAAAAGTTTTTTTTTTTAATAAAAAAATTTATTTTCTTTTATTTTGTTTTTTGTTTCATAAAAAAAAATTTTATTTGGTTTTAATAAAATTATTATTAAAAATATTAGCAAATTAACAGTTGTTCAAAATATTTTTGAATATCAATTATTTTTAATGAATTAAAATGATGATTCGGTGATATAAAAACAAAGAAAAACAATATGGCTAACTTCCAAATTGTTAAAAAAAAATTTGTATTTTGTGATGTGATTCGGAAACTTTCACAATGTTTATAACAAAAACTAAAATGAGATTATTCAAAAAGACGCTGCTGGAAAAAAGAAAAGCTTTACCTAAATCAATTGTTAATGAGTACTTTTAGATCGCAGGTTGCTAAGGAGTTACAAGTGGTCGTCAAATTATTCGAAATATGTATTTTAAAATAATTTTAACTCGCCGGTCTCATGGTTAGGGGTAATATAAAGACTTGAATACTGCTAAACAAGTAAATAAAAAAAATTATTTATTTTTTCTGAAAAATGTTGTAAGTATACACGTGGACTTAAAAATTTTGATAATATTTCAAATTCAATTATGGTGGTAGTAATTATGCCTAAAAAACCGTTTAATAAACTATTGAACTAGAACACAATTTAAATCATAATTAAATTGTGGTATAAAGATTAGGTAGGATTGTATTAATTAATAATTTTTAAATAATATTTTTTATAATTAAGAATAATAAATATTTAAATTGAAACTGAAAAATTTGCAGAATTTTTAATATGCAGGAAACTTAATATGCTTTATCTTCCAAAAACTGCATATTATATATGTGAATTAATTTCGCAAATGTAGGTACAAATTTATTTATATTTAACTGTTCTAATCTTTTTCTTATATTTAAACCTTTCAAATATACATATATATTTTTTGCATTGTTATATAATTGCGTCTTAAAAAATAACTTAACCATTCATTAAGATTACCTCACGTATGAGATTACCTCACGTATGAGATTATTCTGAGAAAAATAATCACAAGTACCTTCTTATTTAAAAGTTTTGTATTTCGGCAAAACTTCCCTCGCAAGCAATTGTTATTAATATCTTTTTATTTGAACCTTACAAGTTTATTTTTGTTCGAAATTACTAATATTTTACATAGTGTATTATAAATCCTCTTAATTGAAATTATCATTAAATGGCATAAAAACTAACCGTACCACTCAATCAATTTGTTTTCTAATATTGTTCTGAACCTAAAAGTATGCAATTGTTCCGATATACATAATATATGATATTAAGAAAACAATGTAAATATACAGAACATCATTTTCTCATTAATTTCACTCTGTGCATCTGACCCTGGGCATGCTTTTTTTATAACTTCTACACCCTTAGAGATAGAAAGCGGAAATTTCATAGCTTTTTCAAAAATTTATACTCGATTCAATCGATATTTTGGGAAAATAAGAGAAAATTTATCAAACTTCCCTCCCGTTTACGGTTCATTAAATTCCGAAGTGCAATCTTTGAAATATTTTCGTATGTAAATGAAAGTAATGTAGTTGAAGGGAAAAGTGCTACATTACAAACCATTGGCTTGATCCAATTTTGTGTTTTTTTCTAGTGTTTTTATTCAGATTTTACTAAGAAAAATTTTTGCTACTTAACAGATCTACTGCTATACGATTAATATTATTTCACCCTTATAATAGTACTTCTCAGAATAAATCCTATAATACCATGATTCTAATTATAAAAAAACTTTATTATAATTTCATTAAAAAATATTTAATTATTTGCACGAATAACTCCTAAATTTTACAATATAAATTAACCCAATGTTTCCTAGCAGACTAACAAAAAATTTTAAGAATAATAAAATAAATTTGTATATAAATTGAATTTTAAATTATTAAATTTCAATTTAACCTCGAACTTCGTAACTCTCTCGTAATTTTAAATCTCTATACATGTTTATTCAATTTAGAAAAAAAACAATTTCCTTACTTCAAAATTATTCTTATAAATAGGATCCTTTAATTCTTGACATTGAAATAAATTTTTTTATATATAATAGAAAAATTATAATAGAATAATATTATATAAAAACAAAAAAAACAAAAACAAACCAAATTAAGAAAAATGAAAAACTTTATGGTTTTAAAATCTATTATGGGTTTTTTACCACTTTGAATAACTGTTAAATTAATTTTTTATTAAATTCAATTCCATTTTTTTTTTCAATAACGCATTTTTTTTGTTTTACAACCATTTACAGGCTCATAAAAATATTCGTAAGCATTGGATTTTTAAGCAATTTATGAAAAAATAAAAAACAAACAAAAACATGTTTTAAATGTAAAATATTTATGTAAATGTGAATGTAATGTTAGTATATATTTTGTTCCTCATTTTTTCTTTTTATTTTTTTTTTTACTTTAAAATATTTTTCGAAAATGTTCATGTTCCTGTAAAAGGTTAATTTTTAATAATATCGTAAATATATATATTGTGAGGAAATAAATAACGGCAATTATTTTTAATTATGTTAAAAAAAAAATAAACAATATGAAAATAAAAAAAAACCGCTATACGTAAAAATACGTTAAATTACGGTATTTTAAATCCGTTATTGTAATATGTAAGTATATACACGCGTATATTAAAATTTAATATATTTAAATATTTTAATCATTCAATATTTTTGAGTTATATATTATGTTAGTATATATATAAACAAATCAAATAAACATACATACATAGAAAATATATTTTTAAAGTTTTCATTCAACTAAAATTATTTACCTGAACACATGGTTTACATAAGTTAACACATAATCCATCCGAATCTTTTGAATAATGTTCAACGAGTTCTTGTAAAGTTCTGGAACGTAAATTTTATATTTAATAAAAAAAAATTGAAATAAAATAAAATAAAATGAAAAAAATTACCTGAAAGTTGTTCTTCTTGCAATGAAAAAACCTCCTTCGTCCAATTGGCGGATACGATAATGTTTAACAGTATCACCGTCACGAACTAAAAATTAAAATAGAAAAATAAATAAAAATTTTTAAATAAGTACACACATATATACAATCAAATAATTGATCGTAAATTTTAATGTATGTATGTTTGTCTTGAAACAAAATTTCTTAATTTATTAGGTTTCAGAGTAAATGGAAATGTAGTTTGTGAATAGAATTCATATTGTAACTCTATGTAAAAATGCCCTATGTATGTGTAAGTTTATAGAATGTAGAGCTCTGAGTATGAAAATCCTCTTACATAAAGGTTAAAAATTAACTTTTAAATTTGATATATTGATAATTCAACATTTACTTTCTACACAGGGTCTCCAAGACTCGATGATATTCCAGAAATAGGATGATAAAATGCGTTCAGATGAATAAAAACAAACCTTGTGAAACTTTGACCTTTGGGCCTGTTTTTTTTTAATTACGAGGCCTCAAAGTTGGAATTTCTTAAAACATTTTTACTGACAACTCGGGAAATATTATAAGCCAAAACCAACAATTTTGTATAAGTACTTGTTTTAAAACTCCAAAAAAAAAAATTTTTTTTTAAATTTTTTTTTTTGATTGCCTAGACGCATTCGATTACTTTGCTTTGTAAATCACGCTACCCTATTTAAAAATTTTAATCCATGTGCATAACTAATATTTCCAACTAAAGTTTTGTACAAAATGGTATGGGTGTTATGCACGAATTTTGTTATACGATTTATTATACATACGCCCTTAAATGGAACGCTATGTTAATTGTTTTTATTTTAAATTAAATAAAGGAAGAATGCTTTTTATTTTAAATTAAATAAAGGAAGAAACTTGCAGTTAACATAATATAAAATATTTGTACACCAATGTACATCCCTGTGAACAAATCAATTATTAGAATTATTCTTTTAAAAACCCCATGTTTAATATTTTAATGATAAATTATTTAAAATTATTGATTACATATGCAAAAAAAAAATTATTTGGAGAATACCAATGAAAATGTTTAAAAAATTTTTCAAGAAAAATTTAATTGAAATTTCTAAGCTGAAAAAATTTTGAATATTACATAAATTTAAAAAAAATTTGAAATTCTATCAAAATTTTGCCCGTAATTTCGGGGCGAAAATGTAAATAAGATTAGAAAATGTGTAACTTGAGATGTACAGTCTGTATCAATGTAATATATTGGTCAAATTTCATAGTTCTGTAGGGTATTTAACCTCAATTAATTCTTTGTAGTAGAGTATAATAATTATATAATTTGATTTTGTAAATTTGGCAAATACAACAATAACAAATTTTCGTATAACATACCTGATAATGAGTAATCATTGTGTCTTGATTCAGAATCTCGAATTAAAAATGCACCATGCTCATTTTCTGGAAGTAATAATTTCTTTTCAGCCTCAATACGTTTTATTTTACGGAAATACCATCTGAAATTAAATTAAAGGAGGGAAAATGTGCATAAATAAAAAAATCTTTAATTAAAATATAATTTTTTTTTGTGTGCTTAAATTTTAAAAATGGAAAATATGAATGCTTTAATTTAAATTTTACATAAACGGAGGAAAGACGAAAAAAATCGAAATACCAGTTTTAATTCTATTGGGTATTAAAATTAATTTTTTTTTTTTTAAATATTACGCAATTATTTTTGACTTTTTGTCTTTCTTTGCTTGCCTTTCTTTTTTTTGACAAAAATTTGTTATGTGTTAAACATAATTACGATCGCAATTCAATTGTTATACATATTTATACATAGCAGATTTTGTACATAAATGAAATATTTATTGTACTCGTATTATAGAAAATGCAAATAATATTAAAAAAAAAGAGAAAAAATAAATAAAAAATAATAAGTATGAATGCGCCAAATACACACAATTGGAAATAAATGAAGACAAGATAATGGAATTGAATCGCGAATAAGAGAAAAGTTACGATAATTGGCAAATGTTGACAATCAAAATAATAGAAATTTAAAAAAATTTGCAAAAATTTTTGCTTTTTTTTTTTGTAAATACTTATGGTTAATATTATTTATATATATATATTTAGGTATGTAAGGTATTTAAGTACCAGTATACATATAAAGTGTTTACATGCATGAATAAGTTGATTAATTTTAATATCGGAGTAGATTCTGGAAAAATATTGTTAATATGTTTTAATGAAAAGTTAAGGAGACCAACAAGTAGCAAGGCTGCCATTTTACGGTCAATCATTTAAACAATATTTGTTAAAACGCAGTATGTTAAATTGATTTTAAATTATAGTGTGTTTTTTATATTATAGTTCCATTTCAATTTTCTAATTTTTAGAGTTGGTCGTAAGGTAATGCGAGGAGATATGACTGGGAAGTTTTATTTAGAAAGATATATTCGAGGTATACTGTCTTTATTATATTTGATAAGGTTGTGTTGAAACAAATATGTATAACAATTATCTATTAGTGAAAATGTGAATGTTATTTCAATTCATAATTGTACTATTATTAAACATTAAATTTCTTATTTTAGAATTTTAAAGAAGTTATTGTGGACTATTTGATTAATTATGAAAAATATAAATGTATGAGAGTGAAAAATACATTTTTTTTTTGTAATTTATTAATATTTTTTCTTATATAACAAGTTCATATAATTTGATATGTAATTACAGAAATTAAATTAATTTCATATCTCTTGTTAAAAACACGCTATATAGTTACACGCTACTAAACTGATCGTTTTTTTGTAACTCAGTTACGTTCAATTAAAAAAACGTGGATAAAAGCGGAAAGAAATTCATATTCGTATAAAAATATTTTGTAAATATAAAAATAAAAATATTTTTAGAAAAAGATTATTCTTTTTACGTTAATAAAACACAGAGAAACCACAGTTATTTTTTTTCACTTACTTAAGTAATGATACAATAATTTTAGATTTAAGATACTTTAATTTTGATCGCATGATCATAAAATGTTCATGATAAATTACTGCTTATGTCATATAAAATTTGGTTAATATAACCACTAAGGTAAATAAAAATATTTGCAGTTTAAGTATAAAACTGTATCATTTTAAGCCTACATCATTTGCCAATATATGAGCAAAGTGCAATTTATAATTTTATTTCAAAATAAATTCCAATAAATATTGGAAAATTTCGAATTAATATTTTCTTCCTCTACAAAAAAAATCCTTTTTTACAAACTATAATTAAAATTTTAATCATACTGTCGTCTTCTCAGTTCTTACTATAAAATTAATTAATATAGACAAGAATGTGAAAATACTTTACTGAAATTCTATGCATATTTTAAATACCATATTTATTAAGAAAAAAGTTATTTTCCACACATGTTCATAGAGTGTCTATGAAATTCTAAAAATAGAATAGAAAATTTTTTTTTTGCTTTTCTACAATTTCTTTCTTATTATTTCTTAAATTTGCCTATACATGGAAACGTACAAATTTTATAATAGAATTATTATGAATCTCTTAATGTTTTCGATGGTCCATGTAAAATGTTTTATCAATAAAGAATCTTTTAATCTCAAGAAACTCAATTGGATCTTACAAAGTTGCTAAGAATTTTGCAAAGTTGGTTTTTACATTTTGTTTTGTTTTACATGAATGCTTATTCTGAAAAAGGAAATGATTGTAAAGATAGTTGTTATCCGAAGACATCAATAAGGTAGTTTAACTAAAAGAAATATTCAATTTCATATGCTACAACAGAGAGGATAATAAAAAAAAGAAAAGGTATAAGGTTCTGTATTTTGCCACGTCCAAAAGTACAAAAACGTTTTCTTTAGAATGATTTTTCTCTTGTTTTGAAGAAATGGCGAAGGAAGCAAAAAAATTGTTCTCTTTAATTGTAAAAGTTTAAGAAATTTCGTATAAACAAATTTCGTTCATGTTGCCAGAGTTGAAACATAAACAACGAAAATTTTTTTTTTCTTCCGATTGACATATAAAATAAGCTGTCAATTTTAATATAATAGAGGAAATATGTCACCGGTAAGTTATTGGCACAAAATATTGACAACAAAAAATTGTAAATTGAGTTTTTTAAATTTTGAGTTGCGGTATTGCCAAAATGTATTATTTTTTTTTTAATTTTAAAATATTAAATTTGGAAGACAGGAAAGCTCGGATGCGTGAAGATTTGCAATTAATTTGTTTTTAAATGCGTTTTTCTAGGGACTCTACTAAGCGATTTTTCTTTAAATATTAGACAATTTCCTTCACAAAAATAATTTTCAGCAACCTCTTTGATTTTCATACAAATTTGGATATTAATTTTGAATTACTTTCTTAAGCTTGGTAGCCTGATAGATATAATTATATAGTATTAAATTAATATTTAAAATTTGAGAATAAAAGAGCATTCATACGCATTTATTTAAATATGTTTATTTTGTTAACTTCTCTCTAGTGAAGTAGATGAAATTACGTTATGCTGAACTCGAAATAAAGTGACCATTCTGCGATTATTATTAAATTATTTATGAATCTATGTGAATGGTATGATTTAAATTAAAATTTTATAATTGATCGCATAATATTTAAAAGGAATGAATGAATAATTAGTAAATAAATCATAACTGACTTCTACTTCTTCTTTAATTTGTTTCTTGACAGAAATCTTTCAAAAATCAAATTACAAAACGTATACATGTTGGATTATGATGAGGTTGCATGCGACTATTAGGAGTAAAATAAAACCTTTTATTTTGTAAGTAGCTGTGATTAAAGTTTATATAAAATACTCAAATATACGCCTTTAGGCATATTAAATAGCTTATTATCGTTAATATATTTTAATTATAGTTGCAATTTAAACTCAACGTTTGCTACAATATATCAAGAGTTCAACACTTGTAATTTAAAATTTTGTAAATAATCACATATACATGTAATGTGTATAGGGATTGCATAATACATTTTTAAAAATTTTTGTAAACATTTTTTGATTTTTAGACAAATCATAAAAATTTGAACATTTAAAAATTTTAATAATATTGTAAATTTTTATGTCAGAAACCAACCGGAGTTAAAGGCTAATTTTCGTTAGAATAAACAATAAGATATTTTATGTCTCCGATTTGGCCATTAATCATCTCTTTTGAATTATAAAAATTAAAAAAAAGCAAATATGTTCTTAGAAATTGATATTATTTTTTTAAAGAATTACAAATAATTTTTTTTTCTCATTTTTATCACAAATTTAAAATACAATTTATTAAAAAATTTTCTAAGAAAAATTCTTTGTTTATTGTGTTAGTATATAAAGTGTCATCGATAATAATAATAAGGTAAAAGAATTATTTACATTAATAATAATTAGGTAGTGATTAACGATCACGAATTTCAATTTAAGAATTTCAATTTTGTATGTTGTAATTATAGAGAATTTCAAAGATCCGGCATATATTTATTTCTTATTAAGTAAACAAACTATAATTTTAAACAAGATGCAATAAATCATGACTTAAACTATGTATAGGAAAATTTGAAAACTTTCTAAAAATTAGAATTAGAAATTATTGTGTAATGAAAATTAATTTATAAGCTATTATTATTATTTTTCAATTTTATTTATTTATTATTTGAATATTTATATGCATTGGGGGTAGCAACAAAGGTGAGTACATCTTTGGTAAAAAATTATATTTTAAAGATAATCGAAATTAAACATTTTCGTGTATAAAATTACATTTCCTTTCGTTTCTGGAAATATAAACTATTATGACAAACTATTGAGCATCAAAAGTTTTATTGAGTCACGTTAAGATGGCGTATTTCATTTGCAAATTCTATTAAAATTCGTAACAAAATTATAAAAAAATGTGAAAAAAATTATTTAATTACCTTAAGTTTTTTAAGAATACGTTACTATATTTAATTTTATAACTTTAATATTTGTTACTCTAATAAGAATTCTCAATTACTTTTCTAAATTTATTAACAAATTTTTATATAAGTTTGAAATTACATTAATGCACATATTACATACATAAATGTAAATTATATACACCTAGAATGTATGAGTACAAAAATGATATTATGTGGTTTTCTAAATCTTATATATAGATCACATGCGATATGATTTAAAAAAATTGTTTATATTTTAACTCTTTGTGAAATTTATTTTTTTTTTCAAAATTTTAGGAAATATTTTAAATTTCCCTTTAAAGTAAAGAATGAAAGATAATGTCAAGTCCAATCGTAGTGCTGATTAATTAGTTGCATAATAAAATTAGTCTCAAGATCGAAAATTTTAAAGAAAAATTTTTTCTTCAACGATTTGTACGTGAGTTAGGGACCTCCTGATGTCTAGGCAAGAAACTCTAACAGCTAGGCTTGATAGACATATAACAATTGCTACCATTTAAATTAAAACCATAAAATTCTTATGTTATTTTGAAGGTAACTATTCAAA